TCCTTCTGCTTAGAATCTTTAATCCCCTCTAGTGTCCAGTTTCTAAAATCATAAAATAACTTATCTTTGTTATGACTTACAGTAGCCAGGATAGCCAAACTAAGTCTGTTTCCTATGAGAAGCTATTCATTTTTTATAGCTAATTCCAAAATCTTAAAGTCAATATTCCAAATTTATCTGGACCCCTAATCCATTTATAACTTTCTTATAATTTTAAAAAAGCTTAAATATTTAGCTTTTTGCTGTTTATTTCAAATTCTTTAAGTTCCTACGCTTACTGTATAATTAATTTTTCTATTGTTCAGAGTTGAAGATAAACTCACCCCATGACTTTTCATACTTGTTGTTCCGAAGGTCTCTAACAGCTTTAAGATAGTTAATAGGCAATTTCCGAAAGTGATTAGAAAGTGAGGCTTGTGAACTTAGTGTCCTTTAAAAGGCTCCGCTGCAGTCGCAAGGAAGATGGCTAATCCCTTCATCTCCCGGCACTCAAACCCATGGAAAACCACTGTCCTGCAGTCTCCTCGTGAGGACCAGTTGTCCAGAGCACATGTGGGCCATCTCCTGTCCTCCATCTATCCAGAGAGGTTCCAAGGAACTAGTCTACTCACCAGTTCCTTGGTCTTTGCTGTGGTCGTTGGCTCTGCTTTCGTGGAGATATCTTCAGTTCACCATACCTCCCCCAAAAGTCAAGAAATTGTATTAAATCCCATGAAGAACTGTAGCTCAGCTAAAACCAATCTAATTAATTCTATTTCTGAAGGATTATGGTCACCTTTAGGTTAGTTACAACACCCTGGGGTGTTCAAATATGCTGCCTCTGATTTTGGATATTGCCCTTTCTTACATTAGGTTGGTGCCAATTTTCAAACTTCTAATGTAGCAGAAGTTATGATCCAGATTTGTCCACTCTCAGGGGAAGCCTTAACATAGATGATTCAATATGGGCAATGAATATGCAATATTTATACAATCCAGAAGTGGGTTGCTTTGTTTCCTTTTTGTTTTAGTAACAAGTTAAGTGAATTAACCTTGAGATGCAACAAGCTAAGCAGAAATCTGTTTAAGAAAAAGAGGGATGGCTGAAAATACGTCACTTACCTGGTTCATTGTAAACGGTCCCCAGATCTACTTTGAAGGAGCCAATCAGTACACTCCCTATAAGCTTGTTATGCATAACCTGCCAACAGAAGACATGTGAAAAGTTTATCTCTCCATCTCTATCTATCCATCCACCCATCCATCCATCCATCCATCCATCCATCCATCCATCCAT